CGTAGGTGATGTATTGGCAGGTGGCAAGCTTACCACGCGTGCGGCACGAAGGTCAAATCCTGGATCCGCTCCCACACGGGCTAACCAAGCTTTCTACTCCACGGCGCGTTAAACGAACGGATTTGTCTGGGAGGATGAAAACACTGGGTTGGATATCGGTTGGCACCTACAAGTCATTGTATAGGCTAATTCATCTGGAGCCCACTGTGGTGGTCCTCAATGCGCTGGATCTCTTCCAGAAGTGCTCCACCTAACGGGAATAGCGCCGGACTTGTTTCTTTCCTGTTACTCCCAAGCGATCGCTTCCTTGAACCGACGGGCTTCGATAATCACTACTTTAATCCTCGTTTGACTTCAAGCTTTTATCCTCAGTTTGTTTACTAAGTGAGCTAAGTATGCTATACAGCTCAGCAATATTTTCCTTCATATCCCGAGCTGTCACTTTCTACTGTTTATTTTTATTTAATTATTTATTTATTCATTTGGTCCACTGTTCGCTTGTTATCTACGTTATTTACTATGTATTTACTTATTTAACTAACTGTAGATGCTATACGAATTCCTCAAAGAAATCTCTTTTTCTTATGTATTAAGTCGCAAGTTCATCCTTAATCGAATCAGCAGGAATTTTTCAGCCTGCCCGCATCATGAGCGGCTGGTGGTGCATCCGCACACCTTGTACGTGCATTCCTACAAAGCACCGACCTTCTGCGATTTTTGCGGCGAATTACTCTTTGGTCTCGTGAAGCAGGGATTAAAATGTCAAGGTGAGTTCATGGATTTTCTCGATGCCTCCTCTAATCGCTATCTGAGCTCGGTAAGGATCTCGGAGCTGGCTGGACACCCTTTCGGAAATTGTTGGGGCGATTCGGGTTTCAGTTCGATCACTGTTATCTAAGATAGCCTCTTTATTAATTCCTTTCGCTGATACTTTGCAATTTTTTGTACTTTTCTTATTTATGAGATAGTTACCCGTGAGCTTCCTGCCATTTCCTTCACGTATTGTTTATATCCCTGAAAATCGAATTACCCTACTTTCTGTAGACTAAGGCGCTCCCTTATAGGGCGCACTTTCTCAAACGCCAGCAATGCTTCTTCCTCACTTTAGTTTTGCGTGTATTTTTATGTATTCTTATCCATACTAATATTGTTCATTTAATAAGAAGAGGTCAAAAACGGGTTGGAAAACTAAATCATGCGAGAAAGATAGGAGAACAGTAGCTCTGTCCACCTGTTTTTCTCACGCGACTCTGCGGAATGCGCCTTATACCCCGGAAAAGAGGTACATGCAAATATAGAAGTGAAAGGATCTCACCAGATGATTACCTTGCATCCTTCTCTCTATCTCCTTTCCATATCCTTTTCTCTTTTCCCTCCCAAACAACGGATTTGGGATCAATGTTGTGATTGCATTCCTGAGCAGTAGGAGCGGGTGAGCTGGCTAAGCGCTCAGCGACATCGTTCGGGGATGAGATTTTGCCACTACCAGTCCTACAATTCTCAGGAGTGGGTAGTTTGGTAGAAAGCCCAGAAAAGATGAAGGCACTCTTCGGAACAGACATAGCTCATTTCAATCCTTTCTTTGGGCCAAGTATGTGCCTAAATGCCTCTGAAGCTTCTGCGCTGAATCGAATGCGTGGCACATTCGGAGAGTATTGGTCAATTTCCAGGGCTCTATATCATTTCCTATCGTTCACCGTTTTATCAGCCTCTGATGTCAACTTGTTAAGATAGTTCTGTCAACAATGATGTGACGATTATTAGGCTTGTCAATAAAGCAAATATACATGGATTTTAATTGGATAATGGGATAACAGCTGAGCGGTTTCTGAAACTTTGGAAAAGGGTTGTGAAAACTCTAGGGGTGAATCCCAATTACGCAAGTATAAAAAGGTGTAAATGTTATGCCAAAATAACCCTAGTTCTTCCACAATATTTTGGGCCTTGAACTTTTGAGCGCTTTTGAAATTGTGCAAATTTCACGACACATTCCACTCTAAGCGTTGAATTCCTGTTCTACTTCAAGCGACAGCTGAAGCAGCATGTTGCTGAGTGGGCATAGGCTCGTGACGGAGAGCACTTATGCATGCGCGGCCATCAAACAGAGGAGCAGTCAATCCTGAAGAATCGGATTAGAGACGAAATCAGAAATTGACACGAACTAGAGAAAGTTGTATCAACGTCGTGCCAAAGCAACTTCATAACGCTGAATAGTCAATCACAAATCTTGAAAAATCGAATGAGGCCAAGGTGACGCGAACGTTAATATGTGTGGCACAAGAGAGTTTGTAATATTGATTTTCGTCTGGCGCCTACGTAGCCTCAATTTCAACAGCGATTGGAACCAAGAACGATTTGAATCCTTTTCTAATATAGCCCAGGGGGGCGGGGGAGGCCAAAGAGAAAATAAGTCACTTTCGATCCCGAGTCACATAATCAGGCAACGTTTTCGCTGCCTAGATTACCGAGGACACGTGGGTACGGAGTACCAGGGCGGAGATACCTACCCAAGATGTTCCTCTAAAGCAGGCTCTCGCCCATCACCTTCATGTACACCAAAATATGAAGTCATCTCCAGTCGCAGCCTGACTGGAGAAGACCTTTGGAATTCACCTCCAAACAGCTGCGAAACTTCTAGTATGGAGTCACCCATGGATAGCTACCTGGAGACCAGTACTCTCGATCTGGAAGACCTCCAACATCGAGCAGCTCCGACAACGTCGCCACGGTCTAGGACATCATCTTCACCGCAGTCGGGGTTGATGGTATGGACCGGACGTACCTGGAATGGAAAGACCAATATTTTCTTCGTGGACCCCGGACTGAAGGTGAGCGCTGGCGGTTACATCGAGCAACTCGAGAAGAATATCCTCCGTCGCCCGTACCTTCTTGGAAACTTTGTACTGCTACAGCATTGGGTGCCACCACATGGAATCGAAGGGCGTTGGAGAAACTCTCGCCTACTTGGAATGGAAGGGGGCTGAGTACCTAAAGAAGATGGAATATCCAAGTAGGTCACCTGACCTGAATCCCCTCAATTACCCGGTTCGGGCGGAGTTCAATAGGGTGGTCTACGGTGGCGGAGAAATCGACTATCTCGCTGATCTCAGGCACCACATCGCGGTCGCGTGCCAGAATCTCTCGTCCAGAAGGCTGTGGCGGAGTGTCATGATAGTATTTAATATGCTCTTTAATATGGTGGTGAAAATGTCCGATCAGAATTTAATAAAGTGTAATTTATAGCGCCTCGAAAGTCAATGAAGAAAAGTGACTTTTTTTGCCCCCCCCCCTGTAGACATCCTTGATCGCCAAGAATTTGTCTTTCTTACGGGTCGTAGGCATGCAGAAACCATCTTGCAATCTTATCACTTGGGCCTATGAGGTCGGTGCCAGCCCATTTTGCTTGGCGTCGCCGTGGTGATGGTGGCTTGCTATTAACAGCGATAAGGTTGGTTAAAAAGGGAATGATAAATCAATGGGGAAAAAGACAAGAAGGGGGGAAAAAGTTGGTATTCACAGTATTAATAAGAAGAAACATCCACAAATCACTATAGACTGTTACAGCACGTCCTGCCGTTGGGGAAACCTGCAGAATCCGCCTTCAACATTTTCCCTCTGGTACGACTTCCTCTCTCCCAATCTCTCATCCTACCTACCACCTCATTAGTTTTCCGTTCCGTAGAACACAATCGGAATGGGGTATAACAGCGCACTTGAAATAGGAAGAACCAGGAAAAGTCCACAAGTAAGGGGCAACTATGGCTCTTCCCCTTTCTACAGCGAACACCCTCTAAGGGGCTCCCTACGTACGACGTGCCCTGATTGCAAAGCTTGAAATTGAAGGGGCCTTGTTCGAGGGTTCTTGCCTTTCTCTTCCAAGTTTTTCCTTCTACCTGGCAGATTTATCAGCAAATGGGCTTTTGGTT